ATTCCATTAGGGTAATCTCACATAACTAAAAAAAATCATAAAATTTATTTGGAGCTAGAATAGTCCTAGAACAGAAAAAGCGACTCTGGGCAATGCAGACAAGACATGAACCATGAAGCCTCACAATCCCCGACTTGAAATTATACTACAATGCTACTGTGATAAAATCAGTATGGCTTTGGCAAAAACAAACAGACCTAAGGATCAGTGCTACAGATAAGAAGATGCAGACACAACCACACACACACACTCAGCCACCTTATGTGTGACAAAAGGACCAAACATGTTCATTGGAAGAGAGACAGCTTCTTTCATAAATGGTGTTGCATAAATTGGCTGTCTACATACCAAAGACTAAAACTAGGCCTATATCTCTCACCATGCATTAAACTAAAGTTAAAATGAATCAAAGATTTAAATTACAAAACAGAAACACTAGATCTATGGAAAGAAAAAGTAGGTAGAAATCTTGAAGACATAGTGTAGACAAAGACTTCATACTGCAAACCCCAAACTGCATGAAAAATATTTCAAACAATCTACAATTGGTGTCTCATTAGAAAGCTTTTGCACATCAAAAGAAATCACCAAAAGAGAGAAAAGACAATCCAAAGAGTGGGAAAAAATTTTAGCGAATTATCCCTCAGACAAAGGATGTCTATCTAGACAATATAGTGAATTACAAAAAAAATCAGACCCCCAGATTGAAAGACCCTATCTAAAAATACACATCTGAGGTGAATATACACTTCTCAGAAAAACAAATACAAATAGCAAATAAATATATGAAAAAATGTTCATCATCGATCATTGAAGAGATGCAAATTAGAACAATGCTGAGATTCTATCTTTCCCCAGAAAGAACGGCTGTCATAAAAAAATCAAACCAGTAACACATGCGGGAGGGGCCGTGGGAAAAAGGAACCATTCTCCACTGTTGGTGGCAATGTAGACTGGTGCAACTGCTGGGGAAATCAGCGCGGAGATTCCTAAAAAATCTAGGATTAGAGGTGCCTTTTGACCTAGCTATTCCCCTTCTGGATATATTCCCAGACGAATTAAAAACATCACACTACAGTGATGTATGTGCACCCATATTTATAGTAGCACAATTTGTAATAGTTAAAGTTTAGAAACAACTGAGATGCGCATCAACCAAGCAATGTACAAAAATTGGTGTGGTATTTTTATACAATAGAGCTATAAAGAAGGATAAACTTGAGACTTTTATAGGTAAATGGATCCAACTGGAGACCATACTCATAAGGGAAATAAATCAGACTCACATGTGTAAACATCGTATTGTCTCCCCAGTGTAAGAAGCTGGACGAGTAAGTAAAATCCCAAATGTATAATAGTTATTATAAACTGAGAAGAACTGTTCAAAAGGAAAGAGAAACTGGGTGGGAAAAAGGAAGAAAGGGAAAAGGAAAAACTATATATGATCTTTAATATAGTTATATGACTAATTTCTATTCATTCATTGAAAAAATATGTGGTCATATTTTTGTTACATTTTTCATCCCTGTATCTTGTAGTCAGAGTGACCATTTTGAGGATAACAAAATAAAATGTATTCTAAATCATTGTTTTTGATTTTTTTTCTCTTTAAAATAAAAACATGGCTTGAATCAAGAGCTTTCGGAACAAAAATTTCTGAAATATTTTTCAGTGAAACTCAATTACTTGGTAAACAGAAAATTCAATTAAAAATTAAAATTGAGGAAGTAACATTAGCATGATGAACAAGAAGGTTCCAGCCTTCCTGACCCTTCAAATGCAACAGTTAACAATGACCCTCAACCAGCTCAGGATAAAATGCAGAAACTTCCATAACACATTAAGACACAGAAATCAAAGGTGGCTCATGAAAAATATTGGAATTACTTCATATACACTGTCCCATCCCCCTGTGGAACACAGTGAGGGTGCAAGGGAGATCCCCACAGCAATGACCTTTCCCTGTGACAGAGAAGGACAGTGGCAGACTCCAGCAGCCTTCCCTGCTGAGGGCTGCAGTACTTATTCCACCAAGAAGGTGGGGCGGGGAAACGCCTGCTGCTTTCCGCACTGACGAGCTCGCAAGCTTCACCTGCAATGTATGAGCGCACCTGGAGGAGCTGCCCAAGTCCAAGCCACTGTGCTCACGGGGCGCTCGAGCCGCCCCGCCTCCTAGCTGGGCCCTCGCACCTGGGGCTCCAACCCTAGGGCAAAACTCAGAAAGTCTAATTAAAAATCAGTAAAGGACTTGAATAGACATTTTTCAAAGATACACAAGTGGCTAAAAAGTGTATAAAAATGGGTTCAGCGTCCCTCATCAGCAGACACGTGCAAATCAAAACCATACTGAGACATCACCTCACTCGGGTTGGAATGCCTGTTACCAAGACGATAAAAAATGTTGGTGAGGATGTGGAGTGGAGGGAACCCTCTCACGTTGGTGAGCTAATGGACATTGATGCAGCTACTTTAGAAAATAGTATAGAAGCTCATCCAAAAGTTGAAAAATAGACCAATATATGACCCCTGATCCCCTTTCTGTATATGGAGGAAAAGAAATCCATATCATAAAGAGACCACTGTACCCTTATGTTCACTTCAGAATTACTCATGGAGGCCCAAACATAGAAACAACTTTTTTTTTTCCAGTACTGGGGATCAAACTCGGACCTTGCTCTTGCCAGGAAGGCACTTATGCCACTGAGCTATCACCCTGGCCCTTTATAGAAACAACTAAATGACTCATAATAGACAAATGGATAAAAATATGACAGGCATATGTAGATGCATATGGATACCTCTATGTACATGCACAATGGGATATTCAGTCTGAAAATAGAAATTATGTCATTCACAATAATATGGACGAAAAGGGAGGACTTAGGATAAGTGAAATAAGACCTACACACAAGGCAAAGCCAAGCCAAAAAAAACCCCAAAAAACAAAAAAACAGAGATAGCACGGTCTTATTTGATGTGAACTGCTCAGTAGCAAGACCCATAGCTCCACAGTATATAACAAAGTTTGCCAGCTGCTGGGATGGGAGTGGAAAAGGGGGAGATGTAGTCAAGAGGCATACATTTTTACTTACCCAAAATGAACTAGTTCTGGGGTCAGACAATGTGTGTTCAGTTAGCAATATTATATTAGATGCCCAAAATTTGGGTTGATCTCACGCCAAAAAAGAAAACATATGTGTGTGAGTTGATGGACATGTTAATTAGCTTCATAGTGGCAATTATTCCAATAAATACATATCTCAAAACTTGAAGATGTGCTCCTTAAATTTATATAATTTTAATTGGCCAATTATCTTTCAATAAAGATGTAAAATAATTTTTAAATTGTGTGTTGGACTGTTTATGTCTACTGCACATAGAATAATAATTGTATTGAATACCATCTGCATAGAAAATATTTGTACTGCAAAATGATTTTATTTCATAGCATTCCTTATCTTATTTCTAAGCAGCATTGTATTTTTTCACATAATATACTCTATTGATTAAACTTAACAACCCCTGTGTAGTCACAAAAGCTATTTTTCATCTAAATGTAAGATGAAAAATAGCAAGCAAGCCAGCAGATGAGATGTGCTTCTTTCATGTGCTTACTAAGCTGGGAGCCAGTAGCCCCACAAAGCCTTCTAGGCTGAGGCTTTCTCATGCTTCTCCTGATGTCTGCAGCACCTGTTGCAGAGTTGGATGCAGGAGGCAGCAAGTTTTTGCCTTTGCAATAAAGGGATGCACAAAAGGAGTCTATCTAGCAGAGGGACTGTGACATGGTAGTGCACTCAAGCTGTGGTGTGGTTTCTCCGAGCAGGCTGAGGGTGGAGGCGCTGGGAGCAGAGCAGGGAGGGCCCTAGCACCTGGATCCAGTGAGGGAGGGAGGACCTGAATTGGCTCCACAGGGTATCAGAAAGCTGTCTTTGCATTTTCCAAAGAAACATAATATTCCTCTTTTATTGATAATCAAGAGTTTTTGTTTATCTTCTGGTGATTTTCAGTTTTTCTTCCAGTCTACTTATTCACTGGGGGCCCACTGGATGTGTATGCAGAGCACTGACTGCTCTGGCAGATACAGACATGTGTATGGATGAAATCCCTGCCCTCAGAAGCCTACAAGTTGATAAGGTTGTTCAGGTAGGTCCTCCCATAACAGTTTATGTCATATTAAGGTAAGTCCCAGGCCAGCCAGATAGCTCAGTGACCTAAAGCGCCTGCTTAGGCAGACACAGGGACCGGGGCTCAATCCCTGGCATGCCATGCCGGCCCTGCCCCCCAGGTGCACTGGGATGGCAGCTGAGACTGGGTGTGGTGTTGTGTGCCTATAATCCCAGTGTTTGGGAGGCCGAAAACAGGAGGATGGCTACGAGTCCGATCTATGCCGTGAGACCCTGTATTAGATATAATAATAATAATAATAATAATAATGTAAGTCCTAGGTATCTTTATTTATATATTTTTAAAGAATAAAAAATGATAAAAAAGACATTAGAAAGTATGCAAATTTTCACTAGACAAAGTAATAGAAATTCAACAATGATTGCTGTATTGCATAATGTTACATTCAGATTAGTTGTGTAGGTTACTGTACATAAGCATGCAAAATTGGTTAAAAGAACAAAACAACAACAAAAAGTTATAAGAAATTTTTTTTAGCATTAACTGATCCTTTCAAAAGACCAGTGTATAAAAAAAGATGTATTTTACACAATGGAGCATTACTCAGCTATAAAAAAGATAAATTTGAAGTTTTTGCAGATAAAAGGATGCATCTAGAGACTGTATTGGTAAGTGAAATAAATCAGGCTCCCATGTGCAAACATCATATTTTCTCACTAGTTTGAGAACCTGAAAGAGTAAATAAAATCTGAAGGGTTCAATGGATACTGTGAAAGGGAAAGAATTTGTTCAATGGGAAGGGAAAATTGGGATGAAGAAAAGGACAACAGAAAGAAGGGGTAAAAGATATATTTATATATACATATATGTAGGATAATTTGTATAATTTTAGTCTTGTGTATCCTTCATCTATCTGTCTCTCTATCTCACTCGATGCCTGGCAGTAAAGTTAGTTCGATGTTAAATGCCATTATTATTTCTCTTTTGATGTTATCTTAATTATTCATGGCTACAAAAATTCAGTAGTTCCTATGATTTTTCAGTGAATGCCCAAACTCTGGCATGAAGAATATATGCATTCATAATTACCGATTATATATTCTGCCCATTCATTTGATGAATCCAGATGCCTTACATTATATGAATTGCCCATTCATTCATTTGTTGAGTCCAGATGTCTTATGACAGTTTTGTACTTCAGCAGCTAATCTGTGATAAAACAGCTAGAGAAATGTTAGCTTGCGTAGCCACACCCAGCATTCAGTAAAGAACTTCTTGTCTCCCAGATGTGTTCTTCGTACCTTGCAGAGAGTTAAGTGATATGTGTAAGTGAAGGCTACCCCCACCCCCAAGAACTGTTCAGCTAAGAAGAAAAAGGAAGGAGGCCGGCACTCATTTTTTTACTCACTTGAAGCAAAACACACTTAGGAATTCACATTTTCATGCAAATCATTCGGGTCTTTAAATACTTGAGCTTCAAATTCCATCTGGCTCTGTAAAATAAAAGTGTTCAACTTGGTACAACTTCCAAGACAGGTAGAATGGAATGAAACACCAGGTGTGTCACTTCAATGTGTCTAGCCAGGCAAGGCAAGGAAGGAGTGGGTGCTGTGAATTTAAGTGTTCGCATGTTTTTTTTAACCCATAGATTTGGTGGGTGCTGACTCTGTTCCAAGCATGACACTTGGTTCTGGGACCATAAAGATGAACAAGACCCTGGGATCTAGCTTCTAGGAGCCTCCAATGTAGTGGCAGAGACCGGCCAGAGCCTAGGCAACAAGACAGGCTGTAAGGGCTGCAGGCTGGGGCAGCTGCAGTGGGCTCTGACAGTCCAGGAGGAGGGGTCCAGGCACAGCCACCCAGGGAGAGGTGGCAGGGGGATAAGGCTTCCAGCAGGAGAAGGCAGGCAGCCAGAGAGAGGAGCTATGTGGATTAGCAGGCCAAAGCCCGGAGTGCCCTCACAGGAAGTATTCCGCGGGAGGGTGGTTTGACCTTCGCAACAGCGCTTTCAGAAGTACGTGGTAGTGTCAGTTTTTAATCTGGAGAGTTCTTTCAAGAAGCTTGGCAGTGAGAGGAAATCTATTAGGCTGGAAATAGAAGTAGCAGTGAAATAGAAGTGTTTCTCTCCTCCCCTGTTTCTTTCCTTTTCTCTGTTTAGTTTTTCAGATGGCACTATTTTAGATCTTTTAGAATCTTGATGGGAAGATTTTTCGAGTGAGGGCAGAGGTTGAGGATGTTGGGTAAAGGCAAAGGTAGATAGATGGTGACCTACTTTTGGGGAAGAAGTGGAGGACAAGGGGGAGGAGGGGGAGGAGAGAGAGGAGGCAGACTGATCCAGAACTCTGCACTGGACGCTGCTGATGTCCACCCACCCCTCACACATTCACCTACCCTTCCATCATTTATGAGGCACCTACTTGGTGGTGCACAGAAAATGTGGAAAAAGAACCAAATTTGTGACTTCATTGACTTTATTACAGATAATGTAGAAAGCTATGAAGAAGAAGAGAACTTCAGAGGGTGGGTTAAGGTGGTTAAGAGGAGGCTGCATGAGGAAATAACACTGGAACAGAGACCAGATAAAGAGAGAGGCTTGTAGGTACAACAGTCTGGGAAGACAGCACCAGAGCAGAGAGGCAGCAAATGTGAAAGCAGGGTGACAAAGACATCAAGACAGTGGGGGGCGGCTCTGGGGGCACAAAAGAATGAGGGCGTGTGGGAGATGTGGCTGGAGAGAGAAAGAGGGGTCACTGTGTCCTCCTGGGAACCCAAGAGGAGGGTTCAAGCAAGGGTAGGGGCAGGACAGCATTTGCATTCTTAAATACAATGGGTACTGTGGAGTGAAGGCAGGAGGGGTCAACTGTGGAAGCAAGAAAGCTAGTGATTTTGGTTAGGTGATGGATAAGGTGCTTTGATTGGGTTAGCGGCAAAGAGCTGTGTGGGGAAAAGGCTATAATCAAAGATATATTTTGGAGGAACAACTAAGAGTGTTTCAGGGCAGGAGATGAAGATGGCCCTCGGTTTCTGACTGAACAACAAGCTGCGCTGGGATGCTATTTAATGACAGGGGAGAGTAGGATAGGGGTAAGTTTTGGGGGTAAACCAGAATTTATTGAGGATATCTAAGGGAACATGGGGAGTAGACAGCTAGAGACACATTAGAGCTTAAGGGTAGAGGGATATTAAAAGTCACAAATCACATTACCCCACCTGCTGAGACCCGAATGAATCATTGCTTTTGAGTCACAACTGAAAGGCATGGGATGTGGTCCCTCTGGGCAGCTAACACCTCCCATCCAGCCTCAGGCACTCTGGGTACTCTGCTAAGACAGACTCCTTGTTCTCTCACTCATGCTTTCTTTCTTCCTTGGTCTTTCTTTACTGACCACTTCTTTTGCTTAGAGTATTTCCTCCCATTTCATCAGGTTACATTTGAAACCCAGTCTTTCGAAGCTTTCCTGTGCCACCCTTATTCCTCCAGTGGGTCCACAAATGGACGTGGTATCCTCCTTTTGGCTCTCACTGGCATCCACACACACAGAGCCCCTAAGGTCTTCCATGATTCAGGAGGGATGAACATTTCCAAGTTGCCTAAATTCTACATCTGTCAGACTTGGTTTCCACTTCTGTGAAATGAGGATAATCATAGTACCTATTTCACAGGGTTGTAAGGGGGGTTAAATGAGGGGACATGGGCCACAGTTCTCAGGACATTACCTGGCAGAGACACCACAGCATACAAGTCAGTAAATATTATAATAATACTCATCATACTGTTCCATAATTATTTTCATGTTGGTTTTTGCCCTTGAGTGCAGCCGTTGAGCCTTTCATCTGTGCTCCTGGCCCTTATAGGAAGCCTCATGAACAGTTGCTAACATGAATAAATTCATGAATGAAAAAATACAGCACTGGGCTGCAATTACACTGCAAGAAGCTGCTGCAGGTTCCTCTTCAGTGGCCTTTCAAGAAGCTACGCCCTCTGTGAGTAAATTTGATTCTTCCGGTGCATCATTCACCAACCCAAAATGTTCTGGGTTGTTTCTCTGAGATCGTATCCCAGTCGTGGCCCAGGACCAGTCATGCTGTTACCTTTGGATCAGGCAGACACGGCCCAAAGGCTTCCAGAAGAAGAGCCTCTTCTCGGACAGCTTTCTCATAGTCTGTAAAAGACAACTTCCCATCATGGTCGTGGTCCTGGAGGCAGGAGGGCAGATCGCGACAATGCGTTAGTCAACACAAAGCTTACCACAAATGCATACTCTTCATCATCAAGTGTTAACAGAAGAAGAGTGATAGAAAGGGAGCAGAGTAGCTTATGAAATTGAAATGAATTATTATTGTTATTATTTTTTGAGGATGATGTGGATGGAACCTGGGGCATTGGCATGCTAGACAGACTCTCTACCGCTAGTTATACCACCAGCCCCAAAGAATTTTTATCTATCTATCTATCTATCTATCTATCTATCTATCTATCTATCTATCATCTATCTATTTACTTAGCAGGACCAGGGGTTGAACTCATGACCCTGCACTTGCCAGGCAGGCGCTTATTCTATTGAGCTATCTCCCTGCCCCCTTATGTTTGATTTTCTTTTTTTGAGAATTTTTAGTATAATTAAGAGCACAAATTCAAGTGATACATTTAATTAAACAGGAAAGTTGCAATTATTGCAATGTGACCTTTTATTTATAACCCACACATGGGCCATGTCTTTCATTAGAGATCTCTCATCTCCATACTTACCATTTTCTTAAGCGTAATTTCAACCAGGTCTTTAATCCCTTCGTCGGGGTCCTCCTCGGATGGCTGCTTGAGAAGGCTGTTCTTCAGCATGTGAAACATCTCCTCCTTTGAGATGAAGCCATCACCATTCAAGTCAAACACTTCGAAGCAGTCTTTAGAAAAATAAATGATGAGTTCGATTTTGCTGCCAAGATAACATTTTCTCTGATAGAGTTTTCAGGGCCAAAATCTGTGCTGTTGAGCCCTGTGAGCCTCACTGCAAGCCGATTTTCATAAGAAAGGTCGTTGTGCACTAGTTGAATATATGCAACGACTACTGGAAAAAGTTCTCTTACCCTTAGCTGTGAAAAATCACAACAAAGAACCATTACATGGACATTTTCATCTTGCAATTCTTAAAGAAGGCTGCTTAAAATAAAACTTTTCAACAGAGCTCATCAGAATTAATTAACAATTAAATAGAATCAGGGCAATTAAATTACTGTTCTCTGGTTTGATGGCTACAATTCAAGTAATATGAAATACTTGCACAGAAATGTATCAGTATATATAATTAGAATGTTTAGTAATGCGTATGTCATCTTTCTTGGCCTGCGTCATTTTTCAGAGTTGCTTGAGTTTCTTTTTTATTAATTTTCTTTCCTTCCTGCTCAGTTCTCTCCAGTAAGAACTTATCTGACAATTTAAAGTAAACAAGCAACCAACCAAGCAAACAAACAATCAACAAACCTACTTAGTTGGCTAGCTGGGGAATGGTGATATAAGTGTTTAAACTCTGCACCATCCAGTGTGGCAACCAATATTCTTACATTTCATTTTTTCTTCCAAAGATCCTCGAAGAAAAAGTGATAATCCGTGAACCCACTCTGTCACGCTTATGGTACCATCATTGTCTTTATCAAAACCTCGGAATACTAGAGAGAGACGAGAGGGAAAGAGAGCAGGAGATAATTGTGCTCATTTTAATTCTCTGTAAAATATCTACATTAGCATTACTTGTGCTTAAAATCAGAGAAAATTTCAGAATCCAACAGCCCAATATCTCCATTTGACAAAAGAGGAAACGAAGACATTACAAAGTCAGAAAACTTTATTCAAATTTCCTCTTTGTATTTTGAGGGAACAAATATTCTGAATATCTAAATATAAGAATCAGTAAATAACAGTGATATATTTTTACATTAAGTATGCGGCCTATTTTAGGTGTGTTCAATATGTTAATATGGAATATATAATTTTATATTGTGTAACTCAAGATAAGTCATACATGGGAAGATTTTTTTCATAGTTTTTATTGAGTTATTGTCCAGGATGTAAGGAAATTTAAGTATCATTCTAGAACTATTATATTTATTATATTACTAAGTAGAAGAAATGTGTTGGGCCTTTCAATACATAAGGGAAACTTATCTTCTCAAATTGACATTGACTTCTTTTAAATATAAAAAAACAGGTAGAATATCACTCTTCTATGAGCTTTGGAAAATTAGATTTTTATATTCAAATAAAACTGGGAAAGTTGAGCATTAAATTTCCTGCCAAGAGAGTGGCCAAACACCAAAAATTTTCACCCCATCTATGGCTGGATTTCACTAATTTGACCTGTATATGTTTCTTACCTCTGTCCATAATCATGTCATCTGTCATTCCAAATGTCATGTGCAGAATGTTCCGGAATGCATTGCGATCTAGTCCAACGGCCACCCCTGGCCGCTCCACTGCTTCCCCCACCAGGTTATAGAAAAGCTTTATAAGACAGTTCACTTCAAATTTATTAACTGTGAAATAATAAAATTAAGATTTAACAAATGTGTTTGCCAAATCATTAAGTGATAGCTTAAATTTTGTATTACCCAATTTATATACATAGAATATCACAGACACCAAATATGTAGCTATTTCTAGGTTACCTATTTTAAGGTTCATGACACTTCAATTAATGTAAGATGATGGCCAAATTTCTTTAAAGTAGAAGTTGAATATGAAGCAGACCGAAGCGCAATCATTTTAGGAAAAAAGAAAATATTAGCCAAATAACCTGAGTAATGATTTTGATTCCATTATAAACTCAAAAAGGCCAGCAGGGGAATGATTCAAAATGAGAATGTGGATGTGAAGGACTGAAAACTTATTTTTTAAACTAGCATTTTGTTTATGGACATTCTTGAGATTCATACTTTAGCTTTTCAGTGGAATCAATACCAGGCCCCTGAATACTAAGTGCTGGTTCTTACTTCATTTACTCTTTGTGAATTATCACCTGCATTTTGGAAGTCAGAATCACCCATTTTTCAATACAGAAGTTTCAAGCATATTCTGGTACCCAATATGACATCCCTTATGGATCAAGCGAAAAGAAATTAACTACGTAACTATTAAGTAGTACTTTAGAGGAAAGACATTTATATTTAAAAGATATATACACAGAGAGACACTCATGCATATAATTGTATGAAGGATGGTATTTGTTATTATTTATAAACATCGAGGTAATTATTAGTTTTCCAACAGCCATTTGAGGTGTTTTGGTGGAAGGGTTACTGCTTGGCATGTAGAATATAAAAATGACTCTAAATATGAAGTACAGGTGGGAGATAGGGAAAATTTTATTTCAGACAAAATATGGTTGAATGTTTTCAAAGAAAAGGACACAACTTTTGTACACATATGAGAAAACAACACAGAGGAACACAGAAATTGCATCTCATTCTACAGGTCAGAATAGGCTTGAGGGTGATTTCTGATTTCAAAACCACACTTTAAGAGAAAGACTTAAAACTTGGGAAGAGGAAAATTTAGTAAGTGAACTAAATAGCAGAAAAGAATATACTAGTTATACAAAATGAGCTATTAGTCACTGCTGAAAACACTAAGGTAGTTCTTTAAAAGTTAAACACAGGATTACCAAATGGTCCAGTAATTGTACCTCCGAGCAAATGCACATAATAATTAAAAGCAGAAATGTAATCAGGGTGTAAGTACATCAAAATTGATACTGTTACATTACAGTGATAACACAATAGCAAGAAGATAGAAGGAACCACTGCTGGATGAAGAGTTAAACAACATGTACGTCTCACACAACACAATGTTATTTGACCTAAAAGGAAAGGAAAACTATTGTGTGCTCCAGAATGAGTGCGCACTTATGGGTGTTAAGTGAAAAAAGCCAAAGCAAAGAGGGCTAATGTATGATTTCACTCACATTCTGGTCCAGTTCACACTGATGAAGAGTGGTGGTTTCCAGTGGAAAAGGGAAGGAGTAAATGAGAGAGCTACTGTCTCACCCGTGTAGGGTTCCAGTTGGGGAAGATGCAAAGGCTCTGGAGATGGACATGGTGACAGCCACATGGCAGTATGAATGCATAGCAGTGCCCCTCACCCAAGGTTTTGCTTTCCAAGGATTCCCTTAGCCATGGTCAATCAACGGGGAAAAGACTGCACACCTACACTAGAGGCTCTTTAAAAACCAAAGATCTGTTAGTGGTTAGGGAAGAAAAACCTACATGAAAAGTATTTTGCTCTGTCGGTATTCATGAAGCATTAGCAGAGAATATGTCAATTGGCCACTTTCTCCTCTCAGCTGACTTAAAAGTTAAGAAGCATTGCCTTGGGCCAGGCAGATGGCTCAGTGGCATAAGAGGCTGCCTGGTAAGCGCAACCTCCCGAGTTTGATTCCCGGTACCAAAAAAACAAAAAAACAAAACAAAACAAAAATAACAACAACAAAAAAATTGGCTTAATTTAAGATCCAATGATAGCCCATGAACCATTTTGTCTTGTAGAAATTATTAAATTCTAAAATGCTAGAAAAAAAATAGCTTTTCATCTTTTAGGAATGTTGCACATGTGTTGTGCAGATCCTTTCTGTGGAACTGAATAGTGGTGGATTGACTAGGTAGTTGGGTATGCTCTTTCTTTCTCTCTTTTTCCACAGAGTATGTCCATTTTTTCCATGTATTACTTACCATCTGGCAACTAAACAGAAATTTGACTTTAGGCAAGCCTTTCATTGAAACAAATTTTGAACCATTATCTGTCCATGACTTGCAATTATTCCTATAGAATGTAGTGACATTTACCTTTAACTAGTAATCATTAAGGATTTTAAGGTTCACTTAATAATTTTGTGTAAGGACAAAAATGAAGAATTTTTATTTTCCAGAGATAATTGTACTTATCTTTAAATACATGTATTCACCTTTAAGTTTCTTACTGAATGTTTATTTGCAATACGTTGCAATTTTACTGAACAGAGACTAAATCAGAATCAGTTTTGTGTATAGAAAGTAATGCCTTGGTAATGAGAATTTACCAGAAATGTTTACTAGATGTTTTAAGGATATCTGATTTTCTCCCAAAATGAAAATATGATGAGAAAAACAAGAGAATAAAGGCCTCAGCAAATTATGATAACCACAATAATGCCTTAAAGGGGCTGGGTATACAGCTCAGTGGCATAAGTGCCTGCCTGGAAAATGCAAGGGTCTGAGTTCAATTCCCAGCAATGAAAACAAACAAACAAACAAACAAAAAAAAACCAAAAAACAAACAAAAAAAACCCTTCTGTTTGATCTACAAACTGCGGTACAGGGTCTCAGGGTAAATCCTGAGGGGATCTGACGGACCTTGGCAGATACAAAAGTTACATTTCTTGTTATATAGGTCTTGCTTTATCTTGGTCTTAACCATCCAGTAGAAAAATATAAAAATGAGGTATAAAAAGTAAAGCCTTATTAATATGGTGGGCTGTAAAAGGCTCAAGTCAACAACTTCTGATATTGGCAGTCCTATGGATAACCCACTACTAGTATGGATTACTGGACTATATTGGATTGTTTTGCTGAATTCACACACCTACTATATTTAAATGGCAATGGAATACCCAACTGTGACAAAACTAAACAAAAAAAAGGGGGATACAAATGAAGGACCATTTTGTATCTGTGTATTCAAAATACTGATGATAGATATACAGCTACTTTCTCTTAATGCAATGAGAAGAAACACTTGTATTAACAGTGTTTGGACAGGATATGTCTGCATCTTGTACTATGAATAACTACTATGAAGACAACAATATGCAATGTATTTATTATTGAACTTGTCCTATTGATCGATTTTGAAACTGTCTCTTGCTATTTATTTCTCAATAAAATTAATTTTAAAATGTCTTAAATTACAAGATGCCTTTGTACAAGCTATTTTGAGGTGCTTGTCCTCACCATAACTTTTGTTCGTGGCATCGCCCATTGAGAGAACATTTACCACTTATCATATCAGATGCTGCTCCTGCTGCTGCTGATATGGCACGAGAACCCATAATCTCCAGAACTACATGAAGACATGTTCATTTCCTCCTTAGGCACACTGCCATGTTTCAAGGGCTCTAGCTTCTCCAGGTTTTTTGACGGGCTCATAGTCTTGCAGTGAGTCCTCTGTGTCCTAGCTTGACCATCGGGCAGTGTTTCCCCCATTTACATTACATCACGGCTGGCTAGCCTAAGTACAAGTTTTGTTTTTGAATCTGAATATAATTCTAAATTGACCTGTGGGGTTCAAATGTGAAGTTAGAGCACATATGTATCTCTAATAAGTTCTTATCTGGTGCTTATTAAAGCCTCTCTTATCCTTCAACCCAACTAGCACCTGGAGAACAGATTCATTACAGTGTGTTTAGTTTTACTGATCAGTTTGGTTTCCACAATAACCTTGCTCTGAGCCACAGGTCTGTGTCACTTCAGTTCACCTTTCTCAATGAGGAGCAGAGGGTGACAGCTACTTCCCCCAGTGCATCTCTTGGCAAGTTTCCAGAATTTAAAGCTGTTAATTAATTTTGTCGTGAGAAGAGTAAAAAAGCTTTCCAGGGTTCACCTTGTACTTGGTTATGCTATTTTTCGGAGTCCTGTGGTTTTGGTTAACTCTTTATGACCAGACTGAAGCTAGAACCACGTTTTGTGGGCACATTTCATTTCCTTTCTACAAGGTATAGGTCACTTTCGGGGAGGGTCTAAGCAACAAGGAAGTGTAGAGTGGCGTGTAGGTAGCACAAGACGTGAGCGTGGATAGGAATTCTTGACAGCCTGAGCACGGATGCCCGCCTGGAGAAGCTAGCATCCAGGGATAAGACTATCTTCCAGACTTCTTGTTAAGGGAGAGAAATGGAGAAAACTCCATGAGCACCTCGGAGGGTCCTAGAGGCAGGAAGCAGCCACAGCAAAGGGAATGAGCTCTGGGTCAGACAGACACCCTGCCCAGGATCCTCTACTTGTCCAACGCTTGATTCTTACTTACAATGCTTGCAATTTTTAGTTAAGGCGTCCGTCAATTTCTGCAGCTTCTTTCGATTCATGCCGGGTTCTAATGGAATCCTGGTGCTACTGGTGTCTCCGACAGCGCGACTGCTGGAACCCTAGTGAGCCCAGGAGCTGGAGTAGTGTGGCAGTCTCTTGTAGCTTGGAGTTCGCTCCGTGTTAACAGACGGCGTGACTATGGCAACCGCTTAGCCATCCGCTGATTGGCTCCTGGGCTAGGACACGCGAAACACCTAAGTGGCCCCTAAACACGTAGCAGCCATGGCAACGGCTGGGCCGGCCGCCGATTGGCTCCCAGGAAGGACACAGACTCTCCCAACACACAATGTGGCCATGGCAACGGCCAAGGGCCCCTGATTGGCCACTCGGGCTGCGAGCCGCGCTGGGAAGGCTGTCCCAGTTGGAGTGCTTCAGCCAGGCGCGTCACAGCAGTTTGCCTAATGCTGGGGTTTTAATTTTCAAATGTCATTGTCTTTTGTGTTCACAGCGTCCCCTCTTTTGCAACATACATCACGAAAGTCTAGAAAGTATGGAGTGCACGTTGTGTGGGAGATGTTTTGGGTGAGGAGTGTCACACCCCACAGGGAGGCTTGCCGTCTTCAGGGAGTTGGGAATGGTATTGGGCTACTTCCCTTTGTGAAGTAGCAGGCTTGTATCTAGATGTTTGTGTTTTCTCTGCCTTGGGCCAAAGGATGAAGACTGCTTTTGGGGTGCGTTACCTGGGAATTTGGTTCAAAACCTTTTCCTGTTTTTGAGATTACGAGGAAATTCGAGCCCTTTTCTTTTCTCCAAGGGCCACCTCGGTTTTTTAGAGGGGGAAGTTGTCACACCGGCAATTTTTGAAACAGGTTAACTGCCATGTGACGTGGGGTAGATCCCATCCTTGGTGCTCTGGAAACTCTCATTAAAATGGATGCTTTGCATGTTTAAAAGACAGGTTCTGTGCCTGCACACTCCCCTCTGCCCCCACCCCCAGTACTTGAATTTGCGGAGTGAGAGGACTTTCTTCTTTTCTTAACTGCAAGGGGAATAACCTGTCTGGACTGAGAGCAATAGCATGTGCTCGCTCCATCAGGAGGGAAGGGCTTTGTTATTCTCCAGAGCTCCTATTTGTTTTATTTTGGTGGGAGAAATCCTTCAGAATGCAGACTACTCCGCAGAATACATACAGCATGCACACACATGTAATATACAACATAGAGACAGTCTGCTTTAGACTGAAAATAACTTTGGCCATACCAAAGTCACAGTCCAAAGTGACATAGTTCCAGTGTCGAGGTCTTTTGTTTTCTTCTGCTGTTTCATTCATCTGTGGAATGGACGATTGCGTAGCATTAGAAATTGGAGCCAAAGGTGCTTGGTGCAGTTGGAGGCTAGGCTATTTTAAAGCAATTACCTGAGACGAGTTCATCAACATGGAATGATAGCTGTTAGGGGTTTGTGACAGGATTCTGATTAAGCAGTGCTACTGTGTGTCTGCATATCTAGAAGCTGAGAAACTTCTGAGATGGGAGAAAGCAAGTGGGAATGTTGAGGCACATTCTCATTCCACTTACCTTTGGGTGCTTCGTGGTTTCTGTTAGATTACAGAGTTGGAGCAAACATTAAAATCCTAGAGGCTGTTGCATTGCTCATTTCAAAAGACAGGGAGTAGGGTGGTTGTGAGCAGCTAGTAGGAGAAAGAGAAGCTAGTGGGTATGTAAGGAAGGTAGAGGGTTGCCTGGTGCAGCAGATTGGAAACAGGCCCCACCGCGGCTGCCCACCGATGAGCCTGCCTGCACACCTTGGGGGTAGGGTGCGTTGGGTGCTTTCTGGAAAGTACCTGTAGGTGAAATAAACAGTGATTACTTTACCAGGAATGATTAGCCATGTTCCTCTATAATGGAAATATGAAAAAAATACAATAGAAATATGATGCGGGGGTAACAGCACAGACCACTGAGGTCAAAATATCTTAGCTTGAGAGCAACATTTGGGACGCATCTTCACTGCCTACCCTCTTTCCCCAGTGTTTTCTTCCATGCTATTCCTTCAGTTACAAAGTGGGGAGGAGCTGTTGTGTGAAACACACTTCTCCCAGAGCAAAGTGTGGAGTTGATCTTCACATGAAGTCTTAGAAATCTTTGTCAGGGAAAGTGCAGTATTTATTTGAAGCATGTTGTGTCAACACATGGGTAAATGTCAGAGCTGTCGTTATATTCTTGTGAGATTTGAAACCCTGGCATTTTTTATAGTTTAGAAACACTGCAAGCTGATAGAGTCATATTTCAACGCAAAACTGAAATTTCTGTTTGTAGTTTTTGGTTGCTTGTGCTGAGTAGACACAAGATTGCTTTCCCTCAGGGTTTTTTTTTTCAGAGTAAGACAATTAAGGCTGAACAGTTACCTCATATCAAGTCAATCAATTATACAATAATAAAAGATTTGTTTAATTTGTATTGGATGCAATTTTTACTGTGCATGAAATGATCATAGAACTTTCCAAAATTCAAGCAACCTTGAGATGGATGCTTTTGTAAATACAAAAGTACATTAAAGTGGCTATTAATGCTATAATGTTTCCTTTAATTTTGTGTGCAAAACAATCTTTCCTTTGACTCACCATTTATTGGCATGTGGCCATGATAAATAACTTGGACCTTGACTTGATGAAAGTGTTTCCCTCCACACAGACCTTTATGATGAAGGCTGTTTAGGAAATGACATCATAGCACTGATGTCCAAGTGCAGTGTACTACAAATCTGTTATGAAATTGATTTTACAAAAGGAAATTAGGGGGATTAGCTCTGCACATCATTTGAATTCAGTTTTTCTCATTTTATTTTGTACAGATAGTGATGAAAAATTTGAAGTGAAGTTTATCCAAGTGTTTGAGCTGTTGAAGCTTCCCTGCTATCTCTGGCCAGGGTCTTCTTGGCTTCTCGGTGCTAAGTGAATGCCTGCTACCCACTAGCTCTGAGCCTCAGGACTGTTTCTATTCTAGCATGGCTGCTGTGTGGAATAAATTCTTTTGCTCCTTCTAATCTTGTCTTTTTAGCAGACTGTAAGTTATGTGGTGCTGCATCCTTTATTCTTATATTTTAATCACTTTATCTCTATGTCTATATATTGATCTTTTGTCTTTACCTTTGTAGTTTAACAACACATTCCATATGGAATTTTCTGTTTTAAAGGAAATGGGTGGGGATGGTGCCAATTTCCCTGCAGCACCTAATTCAGCAGAGTATCTGGGATGGAGGGTTTCAGCTCTCTCCTGAAAGACAGCTGGGAGAGAATAAAGAGGTTTCCTTAAAACTGACCTTTTCCTAGAGTACACACACACCATATTCAGTGGTGTCAACAAATTTCTGCACCTTTTTCCATAATAAAGAGACCTATGGATAAAACAAATGGCCAAGGTTTACTAGAGAGGTTTTCCATGGAAATTACAATATAATAATCAAGATGTGGTCTGCATTAAGTAATTGTGATAGCCACAGAGTTGAATAAAGAAACTTGTTTCTCTAGGCCTACTTGAGCCCACTGAGAAACTCTGGGGAATGTTCTAGGTCAGTATCTATGGAGGGCTTGGTCTTGAACATCCCTGGCAAGGGTCATGGAGGCTGGAATAGCTACATAGCGACCTCAGGGTCAGTAGATGTCTGTCTTTTCTAATCATCCAAGTACAGCCAACAATATAGTTCTTGATTACTTAAGGACTACCTATTCCCAAATAGCCTAACTCTTTATTGATTTTCTTGGCCTTGACTACCCAACCCATCTCAACTGTGCTTGGCAGAGGGTTTCTTCCTTTGTCAGCATCTAGCTGACATGCTCCCTCTACACATGGTCTCCGAATCCGGTTCTCTCTAACGATGCTTCTTGTGGCACTATTGTTCTGCCAAAGCCATGCATTTCCTCATAGTTACTCCCTGATTGCCAGAAGGAAGGTGGAGGCCTTGCGACTCTGCATTGCTTGTCTATATCTTCCTAGCTCTACTGTCTTTGCATTTAAAATTTCCCAGAAAGTGTGGGCTATGCTTGCTCTCTTCATGGCTTTTCCACTCACTATCTATCCTCTATGCTTTGCCTGGCTCCTACCATGGCCCGCTGTTTTCTATTTTGTGCTTCTCAAAAACCATCCAAAGGGTTGTTGCAAACATTCAACCAAGTCTCCCTCTTGCTTAATGTTCAAAAGTCTTCAGTGAGTTTCTCAGTTACTCTTCTTTCATTGCTGGGACAAATACCTGACACCCAAAATGAAGGAAGGAAAGGTTTATTTAGCTCATATTTTCTGGCGGTTTCAGTCCATACTCAGCTGGCTCTAAGGCAGGCTGGCACATGGCAGAGGGGAGCAGTTCATGGTGGCAGAAGGCAGTAAAACAGCAAGAGCAAAATGGAGGAGTAGCAACATGGCAACAGGCAACAATGGCTACAGAGAGAAGTCTGTCCTCTTCTCTCACTTTCTTCACAGAGCCGAACCTCACAAAGACACCAGCGATTCGCTGCTGACCTGCAAAGAGATGTAATTTCATCCCAACAGAATGTAAGGTTGTCTCTTCTCATATTTATCCAATATTTCAATGTAAGCAAAATAAGAATTTTATCTGCAAATTTAATGTGGTGATGTTATCCTCCAAGTCCTCAAATTCCCCGTAGTTCCCATTCTGGATTTATGGTGTGCTCTAGGAAGGAACGTGGAATGTTTTTCTCTCAACCTGTTGCCTTTGTTGGCGGGGAATACCGGCTGGCATTGCTTTCTTCTCAGTACCCCTGACCTAGCTGCCATTGCTCTGGGTGACATGGTTAACACAGACGTCCTGGTGATAACAAATTTTTTGATTGTGATTAAAATCGATGCTGCCAACCAGCTGTGCAGACCACACCTTGTCGATCACCAGAGAAATGCAAGCATGCAGAACAAAACACCTTCCTGTTTGGATTTTATCTGTGTCACACTTGTTCTAAGAGACATTTTGTTTCTAGTATTACATAGAAACACTGGCAAATTCCTAAAGATAAGTTTGCATTCAAAATTGTGGAACGGATGTGTCCAGCACTGTAATCCTTGTATTTATGGATAAGTCCTCAATCTGTTTTAGGGGAGATTTTTCATAGGGTGCCAAGCCCCAAGGTCACATTCTAAGCATTGCATTTGCT